ACTCACCTCCACTGTTTGTCCATCACTGCCTGTGGGGAGCCAGGGATATAGGGGTGATGGCTGCGGGTCCCCTGGCAGCAACCCAGCCCCTGCTCTGCTCTGCACCGACACCCCCCTTCACACCAGTGGTTTTTCCAATGGGAAAGCAGATGGGGCTACATCTGCTGGGAGCTTTTCCCGGGCATATCCTGGCTTTGAAGGCACCAATAGCTTCACAATGTGTGTGTTACCGGGCCAAGCATTGCCTGACCTGGGGGCCAGAAAGCTGCGAGCCAGCAATGCAGTTCACTTGGCAGACACTTGATGGGGCTACGAAACCGATTACCAGCACACCTGGCAGAAAAGGGGGGGCAAAACAGCCTCTGCCAGATGTTTTGGGGTCCCTCTTTGCGGGTACCGGGCTGACGTTGCAGCAGCCAGCAGCATCCATGCAGGATGCTGGCCTTGGTGCAGTGGTACCCGGTGCTGGCAGCTTCGCTTTGGCTTTTGGTTGCATCCTGGACACTTTGTGGCCGAGTGATGACTGTCAGCATGTGGACAAAGATGGAGGCTTTACCCCCAGAAGATTGTCCATGCTCTGCTTTGAGAAGCACTGTGGTGGTGGAAAGGGAAGGTATGGAATGGGCAGCTCCGGCAGCAAAAGCACCAATCAAGTTCTACACTGCTGCTGCTTCAGGGTTTAGTGGTGATCTTGGCAGTCCTGGAGTAGTGGTTGGACTTGATGATCTTAAAGGTCTTTTCCAACCCAGCTGATTCTATGATTCTATATACTATGAAGTGACTTTGCTGCCTCCTCACCCACCACTGCCTAAACCCAGGCTCTTCACAGGCTGCATGGTGGGATTTTCCCCTCTCTCACCCCAAAGCAAGGGGAGGATGGGGAGGCGCAGTCCCAGAGCTGAGCCCAAGCACCGTGAGAGGCTCAACCCCGCATTGCAGAGCCCACTGCAGGCAAGGCAAGGGCCAGCCCCAAATTCCCTGAACTTTCTAGCACGGCTCTAAATCCACCAGGCCCTGCCTGGCTCCAGCTGGCTGGGCAAGCTGGCAGCAGCCAGAGAGCAGATAGTGGGAGTCAAAGCCTCTCCTGCTTGAGGAAAATAAAACAGAAAGAGTAAGAGAGGGTGTCTGTAAATCACAAGCTAGTTACTGATGGAGTGAACTCCCCTCCCTCTTGCTCCACACACTGCGGCACGAATTATGGCCCCAACTTCACTGTTGTTCAGTGATGAACATCTGAAAAGGCTGTGACAGATGAGAAAAGGGATGATTTAACAGCCATAAATCCAGCCAGCTTAGAGGTGTTTTTACAACCAAACCCATCTTGAATCCCCTCTGTTATGAATACTTATCACTCCCAGACACTACTACAATGGAAAGATTTTTAACAGCTTTAATAGAGATGCAATAAAACCCCCCAGAGCCCAGCAAGCAAATGTCCCTTTTATCCCTCAAGGGAGAGAGAAGGGGGCTGAGAGCTATTTGCTGTGCTCAGGCTCGAAGGATCAGAGCTGGAGCAGCCACCACTAACCCCTGTGTTTAATGGATGGGTGGCATCAGCTGAGATATGTATCAGCTTTCCTAAAGCTGCTGCAGGGAGGGTGTAATTAATACCCTGCAGGGAGGGAGGGATGGAGGGGACAGGCTGTGCACATGATGTACAGCACCTTCCTTCTCTCTAGAGCTGCTCCTATCTCTGCCACGTCTCCTCCTGCGGTTACCCAAGTCACATCTGGTCTAACCCACCTTGAGGGATTTAAAATGAGGGTGGTTTCAGCCCAAAGACCCTCCTGTGTCGGGTGCCACCCCTCGCTGCTGTTAATGCACCTCATTTCTCATGCATTGAAAGCTAAACAGGCTCAATGACCATCACCCAGTGAGCAGGGGAGGGATTTTGCTCCTTGCCACTTCAGGGAGCCCAGGAGAGCTCCCAGTTCAGGGTAAAGAGGCCAAGGATCTCACTCCCTCTTGCTATATGTGCTGCCCCTATAGGTTCTCCGTACTATTCTGCACATACTGGCTGCACCCAGCCAGCAGAATCAGAGGCTGACAGATGCCAGGGTTGCACCCACTGCAAAGGCAGGTGAGCAAATACCTAAGGAATAAGCTCCCCCTTTCTTATACACACAAGCTTATCAGGCACAGCAAGGTGATAAGCAATTCATGGGATGAAGGGAACAAAAGCGCTCCCAGGGCATGTGGCTTCTGGTTTTCCATAGCTGGAAAACCCAAGGTAAGACATCCAAGTACAAGCTTCGGGGCTGATGGGTTTCCCTCCTGCATCTGTGGAGTGCTTCAAGGAGGAAAACCAGAAGGAGCAGGACAAGCTCTTTCCTAAGAGAAAGGTGGCCATGAAACCGTGTTCTTGGGCTATTGAGGAACTAGCATGACAGGCTCAGCTTGGCCATAGGGAGACAAGAGGGAGCATGGTCTCCAAAGCCTGGGTGGGGGATGACACTTCCAGCCTATTAATCTAAGGGAACATCTTTTTTTTAATAAGATAATAGTGAGTAATTGATTTTTAAATACACTGAAATCAAATGTCCTGAGGCGAGAGCAGGATCCCAGCTCCATCGTCACATCAGCAGCGACTGGCAGGGATTGAGAGCACAGGGGAAAAGAAAACAAAACTTACAGCTCCTTCATGTGCCTTGCTGGCCCCAGGGCAAACACAAAGATTTCTTTAAAAGGTGCATCAATTCTCCTCTATTAAATAGTAGGTCATCAAAAGGGAGAAGCTGGTGGGGCTGAGCTGGAGAAGGCACCAGGGACCATCGAGGCCAAGCAGGCAGCATGGGGAAGATCCATCTGATTAAAACACACAAGAGCTGAGCAAGAAAGTAATTTTTAAGACAATTTATTCCATCCTCTCGCTCTGTCTCAGCCCCTCCTTCACGCAGCTGGGAAGGGTTTATGGACATTTTTTATTTCATTTTAATTCTTTTTGGTAGAAAAATACACATGCAAATAATATACACTTGACTGCTGAACTTCTTTTCATGTTGGGAAAAAAAGGATAATAATAAAGAAACAAAGCAGGATTTGGGAAAGACCTGAGTGGAGATAGACCTAGGGATGCCATAGGGATGGGATGCGGGTCCTGGTGCTGAGCTGCCCAATATCCATGGACTAGTACATCCTCTCCACCAGAAAGGTGCATGTTATGCCCTTCCAACAGCCCCTTGCCCCAAAAAAAACCTTTCTCTGGTAACACTGCCCACACTGGGGAGCGGCCAAGGGAAAACCAGTGCTGGATCCAATCTTTCCTATGAGACCCAGCACAGAGCAGAGCCCCAGCCCCAGTAACAAGGGAAGCCCAGCTTAGGAAAAAACATCATTTTGATGGTAGGAAATGACACCAGAAACAGGAAAAAAACTCAGTTCTGCTATTTATCTGATGGGATATAGCCAAAGCATGGGGAAAAATGGACTGATGACCCCTTGAAACCTGGATTTAAGTTCCAGGACAGTATTTTGGGGATGAGACTGTGTGCAGGACCCTTGGCTGTGTGCACCTGGGGTTTACTGACCCCATGGGCTGAGCTGATCAGGTCCCATCAGAGCAGGGATGCTCCCTGCAGAGGGGAGCAGTGATGTCCCCATGTCTCCAGCCTCACTGCAAATACTGTGCCAAGGAAAAAGCAGATACACTGCGTACCGGGTAGCTGGAGCAGAATAGGAGATGTGCTTAAGACAGAGCTATTTCAGGTTTGATCGATGGAGAGAAAGGGCTGGGGAAGGAGAGGGCAGCGAGATGCAGGCCGGGGAAAGAGGGTGATGAGTCTCATACCACGGCTGCTTGGGGAAGCCAGGAGCCTTTGGGAAATGCCACAAGCCCACAGCAGCCCTGATGCTGAGGATGCAGCAGGAGCGGGTACAGACAGAATCTGCCTTGCTGCTATTTTGCTACCTCCTCCCAAGCTGCTTCCACACGTGCTCCTCTATCCCAGCAATCCTGCCCAAGGCCGCGGCTTTTCTCCTGCTGATCCAGACTAATGATACGGAGCAAACTGTGTTTTCTCCCTGCCACAAGCACAAAACCACACATGCGGTGCGAGGAGGAAGTCCCAAGGGAAGGATTTCCATCCAGCTCCCAAGGAGCCTTATACAGAGGAAGGCAGCAGCAATTTGCCAGCCCCACCTCTGCTTCCAACAAGCACCCACACCACCCATGTCCCCAGGCAGTGGAGACATCCTGGATACAACCTGACCTGTTGCCAGACTGACCCAGATCCTGCATCCCATCACCATCCTCAGCAGCCAGCTCCTGCATTGCCAGGGCAGACCCATGTGCTGAGAACACCCAGTGCCTCACTATGGAGGGAGATGGGTCAAACTGGAGGCTGCACTTCCCAGGGAACTGGCTTCCCTTGGTGGCTGGATATGGCCCCAGGGGCTGGATGTTGTCCCTGCCATCACCTCCCGTATCCCTGGTCCAGCTCCAGCCTCCATGGTGCTCACCCAGTGGATGCTGATGGGGAAAGGCAACAGGAGGCTCACAGCCTTGTATTCCTCTGGATTTAACACCATCCATGGCAGCCTTGGGAAGGCACCAAGCAGTGAACACGTTTGGCAGCTCTGCTGCCATTGTGCTATGGAACACCAAAGACCACAGGCAGCATTTCGTGGTGGGGCTGGAGACACTCAATCCAGCTCTCCTAAACACACCTGAAGCCTGCAGCAATCACTCTCTCTTTGCATTTGTTTGGTTTTGGTTTTGGTTTTTACTCACAAAATACACTTTTGGGGCTGCCTACTCTGAAAACAGATGCAAGAGGGTCTGGCGAAGGGCAGGGGGGCTGTTTAGTTCCTACTTCTACAGGCTGCCTTGGTGCAGCGCTAAAGGTTGGAGGATGATCATGCAGGTTTTATTGCAGCTTGTGTGTGTGACTTTTCAAAGCAGCACAGCTTCATTTTCAGGTATATCCCCAGAGGTGGGTTTCTCTCCCCTTCCCGCC